TAATGCCAGAGTTCCTGAGCCAACATTTTGGTTGCTAAGCAAAAGCGTTGTTAAGTGAGTTTCACCACATTTTACAAGTTGGTCACGCCCACCCACCTCACATGAATGCCAAACCACTCCCACTAACCAGGCCACACCTACAGAAGAGGTTCTAAAAATTTTTGAAACCCATCACTGCTCCCCTTTCTAGGAGGGCCTGGGAGGGCAAAAACAGCCTCCTTGCCTCCCCCCTCCCCCCCCAACCTTTTAAAGTTTTAAGTTCCCACAACATCTGAAAGCATGTTCAGTTCCATTGAATATAGAATACCAGAGTTGGAAGGGACCTTGCAGGTCATCTAATCCAACCCCTCTCGCCCAAGCAGGAGACCCTACACCATTTCTGACAAATGGCAGTCCAGTCTTTTCTTGAAAGCCTCCAGGGATGAAGCTCCCACAACTTCCAAAGGCAGCTTCTGTTCCACTGAATATAGAATGCAAGAGTTGGAAGGGACCTTGCAGGTCATCTAGTCCAACCCACCACCACCCAAGCAGACCTTACACCATTTCTGATATGTGGCAGTCCAATCTCTTCTTGAAAGCCTCCAGGGATGAAGCTTCAGCCTTCCAGACCTGGTTGCCCCAGGTTCAGTCCACCAGAACCCCAGAAAATCTTAACATTAACATTTTCCCAACCCCTGGAGTCCTTGTTGCTCCCTAAGTATGGTTGTTAGATATAACACCTGTCTGTTTTTCCTAACAACAACCCTGTGAGGTGGGCTTGGCTGAGAAGATAACGACCGGTGTATGATCATTTGCCATGGCCAACTTGCTGCAGGACAAGAGTTACATTATGATCAAAGAAATGGTGGAATAGAATCCTTAAAGAAGGGATGCCAAAGGAGGGACAGAATGAAATGTGAATTGCAAAAATTAAAATATTTTTTATTTATTTTAAGTAACTAAATAGAATTGTTAAATTATCCTGCAGCAAGTTGGCCATAGTGAGTTGGCCATGGTGAGTTGGACATGAGTTGGCCATGGTTGAGTTGGACATGAGTTGGACATGGTGAGTTGGACATGAGTTGGACATGGTGAGTTGGACATGGTGAGTTGGACATGAGTTGGACATGGTGAGTTGGACATGGTGAGTNTGGCCTGGCGGCCCGCTTAGCATGCCAGCAGGAGCAGAGGGCTCTGGCTGCAACTGCAGGGAAGGCCCATCAGAGGCCAGAAGGGGCACCACTGCAGAAGCCACCAGAGCAAGCCGCTCCCCACCTCCCCAGGCCAGGCCTGCAGCTCGCACCAGACTGAGGTAGCTGCTACCACCTGCTCCCTTTGTCCGCCGGGCTGGCAGGAGTGGCACTTGCGCCAGTCAGGCCACTGACTCTCAGAGAGGTGGCTTGGAGGCTCCTTTGCCAGCCAACCGCTGGCTGCAGGGTGCCAAAATGTTCTCCGGTTGGACGACGAGAAAGCTGCTGCCAGGATGTGCATGCACAAAGATGGCAGCAATGGCAGGAGATTTTTCGCTAGCCAATCAGAGGACTTTTCAGTGCCATGTGGCCAGCAGCTGGTTTGGAAGCCTGCCATCTGGATCTCAAAGAGGTGGTGGCTGGGAGGCTTCTTTGCCAGACAGCCGCTTCCCAGCAGTGGTGGCTCACTTGGGCCTGACGAAAACTCTGGTAAGCTTGTCTTCCGGACTCTGGACCAGCCACCCCAGAAGGTAAGTAGCCCAAAGAAAGAGGGGGGGGGGAGAGAGAAAGCAGAGCTAGGGCTGGGGCTATAGGGAAGGAACATTCCCTGACCTGACCAAGGTGGACGGCAAGAGGGCAGTGGCTCCAGAGCCTCAGGGAATGGCACATCCCTAGGATCCCGGACCCTGACCAAGGGCAAGTGGGCAGCATGCTTACTTACCTTTGGTGAGCTGGGCAGAGCAGGCGAGGCGCAGAGGTGACTAGTGAGGCAGGTAGCTGGCGGCTGTGCCGCGTGGTAAAGCCATATAATTTGCTCAGATGGGCAGGACGAGTGTCCAGTGAGCAAGTGAATGTTGGTGGGTAGGGCGAGCAAGCATTGGGCAGGCGGGCAGGGAGAGTGAGATCGGACTGGTGGGGAAAGCAAATGGCGACAGGGGGACCAGTTGAGGGGTATGGCCAGCTGGCCATGGCTACCAGTTCTCCGACCTCGGGAAAATGGCAGTCCCTGGTTCACATGAACTGGTGCAAACCAGCTGAATACATCTTTGCATCATGTTCTGACGGCCATGCTTTAATCCCATCGCCCTGGAGCTGAAGGGGGAGAGCAGGGAGCTGCAGGAAGCTGCTTTGTCTTTAAAACATGTTTCTCCTTTTCTGATCCAGGGAAATATAGTATTCTGCCTTTTTAATATTTCCTAAAATATTTCAATCCAATAGGAGGGGGTGGGAGCTAACTTCCTACAGCCCTTTGCTCTTCCTGGACAGCAAACATTGTACTAGATGCAGGGGTGGGTTCCTGCCAGTTGTAACCTCTTCTATAGAAGAGGTTCCACAAATCTACAGTGCCGTTTAGAACCAGTTCCAGCTCCCTCCCCCCGCCCGCCTGCACATCATCAAGATGAAGAGCGAGAGGAGGAATTCTGGGAGTTGAAGTCCTAAAGTCTTAAAGCTGTCAAGTTTGAACACCCTTGGGTTTTTTTTCTAAAGGGTTAGGGGTGCAAG